CATACACACACACACACACACACACATACACACACACACACACATATGTATATATACACCATGCACGCACACACACCACGCACACACACACACACTATACACTTTAATATCCATCCTTTCACATGAGAGAACCCAGATAAGCAGCTATCTATCCATCTACCTACCTAACCTACCTACCTACCTAGCCAGCCAGCCAAACAACATCTCACATAAAAGCAGTGACATCATTATATGATAATACTGCAAACCAGATACACACTATTCATTGCAATTAGCAAATTTGTTAGTGTTATTATATTGTATAGAATCATATATATGCGTTGTCATGTTGAGTGAGAAAATGATGAGAGAGAGAGAGAGAGAAAGAGAGAGAGAGAGAGAAGAGAGAGAAGAGAGAGAAAGAGAGAGAAAAGAATTAAAAAACACAACAAGTGTCTTAGAAATCATACAAGTATTTCATCAAAGAAGAACTAGATAAATGAAAAATAAAAATGAATCCACATTGTAGACAGTTATATATTGTGCATATCTATCACTTTACTTATCAACCATCTACTTATCTATAAATAGAGACACAGGAATGGTCAAACTAAGATAAATCTTTATACCTGCTAACTAAAGAATAGAAACCAACTGGCAATTTCGAATTACATATACATGCGAATGTTCACATAAATTTTATTCAATTTAATTTATTCAAATTTTTTTGCACAAATTAATTAGCTCTTTCTTTCTCGCATATTTTGTTGATCAGTAAGCAGCATAATGACCTACTGATTAATTATAAATAAATCTAATATCACAAAATATTTATAATATGAGCATGTTAAAAAAACACAAAAAATTGTTTTGAAAAACAATACACAACACACACAGACACAAACACACGCGCACATACAGACACACAACACACAGAGATAAAAAAAACCAACTTATTTAGTGCAATGTTATAAATATTTGTCAAATCTCTATTGACTTGTGCTGTATGAAAAAGTGCTAGGTTAGATATACCATATATACATTTAAACCAATGGGTATAAATGCTGGTACCATGTATAGTACCATGTATATGTTTGTTAATGTATGTGTGTATATGTATGTATGTATGTGTATGTGTACGCGTGTGTGTATGTGCGCGCGTGTGTATGACAAGTGACAGAGTGTGTTGTGATTAATCATTTTACAGTTTACTGTAAAGGTATAAGAAATTATTACAACAAATAAATAATAAAATAATTTGACATTCAACATAGTCATATAAAACTGTAATGATTTAATGTTTAGTACTCCAGCCCAATCATCCATTTATATTATATATATATTGTGTATAACAATGTTTATAACATCCCACAAACATTTTATATATACTCATATGTAAGGCAATCCGAACTAACAACTTGCACACATTGTGTGGTGAAATTTAATAAGAGAAAGATAGATAGAGAGAGAGAAAGAAAGAGAAAGAGAGAGAGAGAGAGAGAGAGACTCATACATTCAGTGCCTTGCACACATACACACATGTGTTTGAGTAAATAACCTACAGTGCACTACACACACTAGTATAGTAAGAGAGCCTAGCATAGTAATAGAGAGTTCTTAAGTTACAGAGTTACAGCAAACTATTTTAAAATAAATAATAAAACACATGCTAGTAAACCCTACTCTTATAAAATGCATTAAATTGTCTAGAGAAATGCAGAGAAAAAAAAGAAACAGAGTGATAGAGAGACAGAGAGAGAGAGAGAGAGAGAGAGAGAGAGAGAGAGAGAGAGAGAGAGAGAGAGAGAGAGAGAGAGAGAGAGAGAGACAGAGAAGAAATTGATGAATGAATGAACAAATAACCTAGTGAATAAATGATTAAGTGAATAAATGAATGAGTAGATGAATGAATGAATTAACAAACAAGCAAACCATCAATGAATAAAAGAAGCAAGAATTAAGTGAACAGACTGAAAAATGATTGAAAGAGTGGATAAAATTCAGAGCAGATATTTATGAAAAAATATATATATATATATATATAAAAGGCAATTGAAATGATAAAAGATCCAGTGAAACAATAACACAATCCAATATAATGTGGATGAATGAAAACGTAGTTGGTTAGGTGACAGAAACCCAGAGTATAATATAATTGCATTTATAAAAAAAGACCCAAAAGATTATTATTTTCAAGAAGACAAAAAAACTTTTAAAAAAATTATTCTCCACAGCAGTGAATGAACATTAAAAAAATGGTGAAAGAATAATTTAAATATGTTTCATGCAGCACACCATGGGTTGGTTCTTAAAGGGGATGAAAATAACAATTGTAAGAGGCATACAACAAAAACACTCACATGAATGATACAGTATGATACGATATGATATCATACAGCATAACATCTGTTTCTTATCATATCATACGTATCATATCATGTCATATTATCATATTGAATCATATCATATAATATCGTATTATATCATATCAGCAAAACCATCTGCAGTCACTTTAATATCAGATTGTCACTACACTCTCCTTAATAACCAGAGGTGCATGTGAGCATGAATGAAATTCTTGACTCATCCTAGCAGTAGTCATGACGGCGACAACATTGACGGCACAGTCAGCAACGACAATTCTAATGACATATCAATGCAAATGTTCTTTGGACACTTGACGGAGACATGGAAATGATAAAAAGAAGGTGGTAATTTTTTTTTCCAAAAAAATTTTCATGGTCTGCTTGGGCAATCGCAATTGTCGGACAATGTTTTTGTCATCTGAGCTGTCAAATAAGGAATCACCGAATGGTAACACTTCAATCAAAACTCAATAACACATGGGGAAATGTTACACCTATAAAAAAACCATCAAAAATCTAGAAACAAATAAAAAACAAAAAAAAAAACACTCAGACAAAACAAATAATGCAAAAACAAAGTTTAGCAAAACCAAAAAAGAAAAAGCAGAGTAACATTTCAACTTCAAAAGATGCTGAGAATAGAACAAAAGAGAAGAAAGCTTTGCAAGAAAGTCTTGAAATTCATCCTTTCAAGCTGCAACTAAGGAATTAAGCTCAGTGACTGGAGCATTGTATCAGACCATCAAACCATTCAACCATTATTCCACTACGTGTGTGTGTGAGTGTGTGTGTGTGCGTATGTACACCTGAATGGGCATTTCTATTCTAAAAACAAACAAGCAAATATGTGCATATTTGTCAGACAAAAAAAAAAGTAATGAGTGAAGTAGAGTTAAAGTGAGGTTAGGTAGAAAAAGCTGTAAACTAAAAAACTGTTAACCTTTTTTGATCCATCAGCTGATCTCTTCGAAGATCTGGACTTCAACTTTTGAAGCATTTTGCTTTTAGGTGATTTCAGCTGTACCATCATTGTCGTTGACGTTGTTGCAGTAGATGTGGCTGTTGATGTAATGGTTGTCGTTGTTGTCAGCGTTATTGATGAAGTTGTTGTTGCAGTTGATGTAGAAATGATGTGATGATACTCAAATGATGTTGTTGTGACTACTACTACTGCTGCTGCTGCTGCTGTTGTTGTTTGAATAAACTGCTGTTGTTGTTGCTGCTGGTCACTAAATTCCGATATTTTTGAAGTAGTGAGAACGTTTGTAGTAGCTGCATTTGCTACACCGTCAGCAAACTCTTTGCTTGCCTATTGAAATAACACAAGTTTGACTAACGTATACTTTTCATCAAATATCACTACTTGAATAATTAAATCACGTATTCATATATTTTTTACATTATTTAATATATAATTTACAATATACTTTCATCAATAGATGCATAGTCCAGTGAATCATTTTGTTAAATAATTAAAAAAAATCACCCAGCTATAATAATTTAAGCTGAAATATAATTATATGCATAAAAATTATCATAATGATAATAACTATAGTCAAAAATAGCTGAGAAATAATGATTGGAAATAGCTAGTAGCTGGCAATCATCAATTAATGACTTGTCAATCATCTGCATTTAGCATTAATAACACAAGCAGTAATGGTATTATTGAGATATATAAGATATATAATTCAGATTGAAAGCAAATGATGATGAGATCCATGGGCATAAAACAACTTTGGTACCATACAAAGATAGATGATACATTATACTATTACTACATTGTGACATAAACCTTATCTCATTTGATGATATCCTCAACTTCCAAACAATTTACAATTTAGTAATGTTTGTTCAAAGCTTTTTTCTTGCCTAATTATCTGACTAAGCTAACTTTTTAACAATTGCTATGTCGTTCAATATTTAGAACCATGAATGATAATAGCTATAATAATAAGATGAAACTTTTTAAAAACCATTGAAATAATTAAGGCATACTACTTACACACACACACACACAAACACACACAAACACACGCGCGCGCACACACACACACACACACGCACGCAGACATAAATATATATTCATGACCATACATACACACGCACACAAGTGCATATAGTGGTATATATAAATAAATCACCATTACACTGGGGTCTCCCTTAACATCTATTTTTAGACTTGTAAACATGACACACCAAAAATTTATTATTTCAACTGCTATTATTATTATCATCACCATCCTTATTACTGTTGCATGTATTATTATTGCTATTATTATTATCATTATTATTATTACTATTGTTATTGTTTATGTACCTTTTATAGTTATCTTTAGCATTGAATAAAAATAGCAATAACAAAACCCACAGTAATATAAGGTTATGTTGGAGGTAATTATACAATCTAGTGTACTTGAAATAAGCCATACAGCAACAAGTGTTTTGAAAGGTAAAATTATTTTATGTATTTTTTTTACACACGCATGTGTGTGTGTGTGTATATATGTGTGTGCATATGTGTGTGTATGTGTCTATATATGTGTTCGTGCGTGCATTAATGTGTGTGTTTGAGATTTATGATTACTACATTTTTTCCTGTCAGACATGTATGTGAGTACAGTACATGCGCATGGTATGTGTGTGGGTGTGTGTTCAAGTAGGAGTGTATTTGCGTATATACGTGTGTGTGTCTGTGTGTGCATGTGTGTGTGTGTGTGTGTGTGTGTGTGTGTGTGTGTGTGTGTGTTAGTATAGGCATAATGAATCCAAGTGTTTCTACATCTAAATTACTCAACCTATCATAAACTTAACAGTGTGCTAATAAAACATTGAAAATCATCAATAATGTTTAATTAAATTATTTAAAAGGAAATTCTAAACCAATATGTAGAAGAAAAGACAAGAGATGGGAAAAAATTACACACGCACGCACACACGCACACATACTTAAAACAAAGTATTTAAAAACATAAAATTCTATTATCTAGCCCATAACATACCCTTACAAGAAATACATTACAAGATCATGGTCGTGAGTCATAGAAAAAAAACAAATAAAGCAAGGAAGGAAGGAATGGACCAGTAAATGAATAAATAAATGAATGAATGAAAACTGAATGAAAAATAAACAAGTGAATGAAAGAACAAGTGAATGAATGGATAAATGAATCAACAACAACAAAAAAATTAAGACTAAGATACACAACACCTAGACACATATGATTAGATATGGGATGTAAACTGACTGAAGAAAACTTAATATAACCTGAAGATTCTCAAATAGACCTACTACACCTGTTGCTGCAACTTTGGTAGCAACTGCGTTGTTGTTATTATTATTATTCTTATTATTATTATTACTTTTATCACCATCATTGATGTCGTTGATGTCAGTGTTAACGTTGATGTCATCATTATTACCACTAAGATTATTATCATTACAGTTGTTGTTGTTGTTGTTAACGTTAATATTATTGTTGTTGATGTTAATGTTACTAGTACTGCTACTGCTGTTGTTGTCATTTTTCATAATTGTTGATTGCTGTTTTTGTTGTTGTTGTTGTGGGTAGAAATTGAAATTTGGATAATGGTGTTTTTGTTGATAGGGGTCTCTAGTGCTATAGAGCTTACTTTGGCAGTTGTTGATGCTGTCATAATTAATATTACTGTTAGCATTATTATTATTATTGTTGTTGTTGATGTTATTACCATCATTGCTTTCATTAATATGACTATTATGCAGATAAATTGGTGCTTGTTGGTTGGTGTTCAGCTGTTGTTTTGTTGTTAAGCAATCAAATTTTCCATGCCCAAGATTATTAGAGTCCTCTTTAGGTTTGTAATGTTGTTGTTGTTTGGAGTTCTGTGGAACATTCAGTAGCTGCTGCTGCTGAGGATTTTGTTGTTTGATGTTGGGCTGCTGATAAAATTGATTGTCAGGATGTTGATACTGTTTCATGCTAGACTGTTGTTGCTGATGCTGTTGTTGTTGATAATGTTGAAAGTCATGTTGATGTTGTTTCATGTTAGTTTGCAGTTGTTGTTGCTGCTGCTGTTGCTGGATATCATGTTGTTGATGTGAATGTTGTTGCTGTCTCTTTGCAGAGTCAGACTGCAGTTGATTTTCATTTTTAAATATTTGCTCCCTGTAACCTCTGTATTGAAAGTTTGAGTTTGAGCTCAACGATAACGTCGGTGGTATGGGATGTGACGATGGAGACGCTAATGATGAAGATGATGAAGGTGATAACTGCGGCAGAGATGATGATGACGACGACGATGATGGTGGTGGAAATTGTGATGGAGCTGGATAAGATGTTGGTGGAAATGGTGATGATGGATAAGGTAGTGATTGGTGGTAAGGTGATGATGGTGTTGTTGTTACGGCCGATGATGAAGATGACAACCAAGGATTTAATTTTTTGTTGAAAAACTGCCTGACTGAATTGAAATAACCATCCCCAGACATGTGCAGATGTTGGGGGTCAAACATTTTCATCGATGATGGAGTTGTTGTTGTTGTCGTCGGGTACTGCAACAACTGAGTTAACATCGGTGTTGATGATGCTATTGTTGCTGTTGAAGACGAAGATGAGGACGATGCTGACGATGCTGAATGATGTTGCTGGACTGAGGACTCTAATGATGAAGATTGTTGTTGACTCGTGTGACGATGACCATGTTGTTGTTGTTGATGTTGTTGACTGTTTTGTTGAGGTGAATGTATGTAGTGCTGAGATTGATGTTGATTAGATTGAGGTGATTTTATCTGCTTCTGGGGAGATTGCAGCTGCCTATGTTGTTGCTGCTGTTGTTGTTGTTGTTGTTGCTGCTGATGAAGTTGCTGTTGATGATGCTGCTGCTGCTGAAGTTGTTGTTGCTGTTGTTGTTGATGATGGAAAGACTGTTGTTGTGATTGTTGATGATGAGGGTGCAGGTAGGGGTGAGGTTGAAACATGTTATAAGGGTGCTGTTGGTAGGGATGTGATGGTGGAGGCAGGTAGCCATGATGATGACTTGGAACCCTTTGATGGAAAGCCGGATGGTAATAATCATATCCAGACATATTAGTTGGACCGTTTGTAGGATAGGGATATCTTTGATGAGGGGACTGTAAGTAAGGAGAACCGTAGGGATCGGGTGGAAAATTCTGTGGAGGAGGCAAAGGAGGAGGGGGAGGGTGATTGGATTTCATCATCTTCATCATCATAGCAGTAGATGATCCATTATTGTTCCTTAAATCTGATTCACCAGCATATTTTTGTGGTACATTATAGCTATTCTGCATTTTTCCAGGGTTGTTTCCAGGTTCTGGAAAGTAGTTGGACTTGAAGAGGAAAGCGCTTTTGAGGCTGTCCCCATTGTTTCCCCGCCCTCCACTACCACTGTCATTGTATTCACTGCTGTTGTTGTTTGGTCCACCATAGTCCCCATCATTACTGCTATTCCCTGCATTACTGTTCTGACCATTTGATAGCAATTTCAAATTATTAAGATCACCTGCTGAACTGTCTTCTGACTTGAAAGATTTACTGCTTGATTTTTTCTTTTTAGTGCTCATTTCATTTCAATAAACTGGGGCTCTGTCTGCAATTTTTTCAAACATAAAAGCACCAATATGTGAATATCAGATATATTGATATCAGAAACACAATTTTTTTTATTTAAAATAAAATCACAGAATAATAAAACGTTTCAATTGCATTTTACGTTTTGTATCTCAAATTTAATGACAAATAAATGGGTAATAACAATATTAAAGATGTCTACTACTAATCTAATCTTCTAGACAACTACTATTTATATTTTTATAATGATTGAAACATTGAAAATTGATACTCACACACATGAACAAATAAGTGAACGATTCGTTTCGTTTCGTTTAAAATCGATTCAGATAATTTTTAAATGTTCATTATTCTATATTTTTATTTTTTTTCTGAAAAATTTTTCAATGACTTTTTTAACATTAGCTAGAAAGAACGGAATTTCACGAGATCGACAAAAGTTTTAACATTAAACTTTAACAAAACAAAACACCGCCATAATTAAAAAGTTAAAAATAAAAAATTAAATCGCTAAAACTTAAAAATTAATGATTTTCTAGCTGATTATAGCCACGAAACTCCAACCTTTGCTGCCATTGTATTTACACACTGACTACTGATGAGGCGCACAATTTTTTGAAAACGACGAAGTAAACCAATAATGGCTTTCAAGCTTATTTGCCATATCATAAAAATTTTTATAAATTGTTAATATTCATAGTTTAATCATTAATATTAATTAATTGATTATTAAATTTGACCGTCCCGCTAATTCAGTAAGAAGTACTAACCCCACCACAACGCACTTCAGAATAGTAATAATAATAATAACGATGACGTCATAACGACGTTCTAACGCCATCTACGACGATTTCGAGATAAAGTATTGATACATGAGTTTTCGGCCGTATGACGTATGCAATCCAGTGCCAAATCTACACTACAGTTATTAACATCATTATCGTTGAGTACCTACCTGAGGTTACAAAACTATATCCTACTCTAGCATTCTAGTTCTAGACCAGTCCTTCGATACTACCCATTGCTAAATTGTCATCTATTTATTTAAAAAATGGTCCCACAGCTAAAAAAGGAAATAAGATAATATCAATTCTCTACTCGCCAATTCGTGATGGCTTATTAATAATGCATTAATTTCTGATTAATAAATTAACAACTAACCAGTTTGCAACTAATAAATTAATTAATTTACAAATGTTAATTTTTTTCTTCAAGTTATAACTTTAACTTAAGTCTGTCTCTAACAGGAAGACATTTATTTTCACATTTTATTTAATTTCATTTTGCTAAAAAAAAAAACAGAAAAATGTGTAAATAAATTTAGAGAAAACAAGAGAATGTTAAAAACAAATATGTCTCAAAGACGGAATGTGGTAAAAATTATTTTTCGTCTGTAAATCGTTCCAATACGGATTTTGACAAATACTACAAGAATTTTATAGTACAAAATTCGAATAAAATCTCAATGAATAAATTAATTCCTGAAATAAATACACAACAACGCGGTGAACTTCGAATTTTAAAATTAATGCATTAACTCAGTGAATGTTAGCAAGTACAACAATAGGCCGAAACGTAGCATCAATCAATCATTACGATATCAATTCACTTTGATATAATAAACAGACTAGATAGAACATTGTGTGTTCAATCAATCAATCAATCAATCAATCAATCAATCAAACCAACTAACCAACCAACCAACCAACCAACCAACCAGCCAGCCAGCCAACCAACCAATCAATCAACCAATCAATTAATCAATCATCCAACCAATTAATAAATTAATTAATTAATTACCAATTAATAAGTTCTATCAAAGACAAATCATCGATACTTTTGTTTTTAATTTACCTCTTAATTATTTCCCAAAATCAAGGCGACACACTAAGTAGCAGAGCCAGTGCCTTAGTCATCTGACCACCCAGTATAATTATTATTACAAATATTTAATCATAAGTATAAATATTTAAAAAAATCACAATTCAACAAAACTGTAATTACGATACCGATTACGAGACAAAGATTCGATCCTGGATCAATTCATATATATATATATATATATATATATATATATATATAAAACGTAAATATAAATATAAAATATATATATATATATATATATATATATATATATATATATATATATATATATATATATATACATGTGAGGTGTCATCATTTACTCAATTGAACATAGTGCTAAACTGTAATAATAATAATAATAATAACAACAATAATAATAATTATTATAATAAAAATAATAAAATAAAAATAGATAATGATAATAATAATAATAAATAAAATTGACGTAAATATAAAGCTACTCTTTACAAGTCGGATTACGGTACTGAACCGATTCAATGGTTGACTGTTGTTGCCGTCGTGTTACATTAACTGTGTTGTTGTCAGTTTTATTCTTATAGTAATCTGAATTGATGTTGGTTGCTGTTGTTGTTGCTGTTGTTGTTGCTGTTGTTGTTGTTATTGTTGTTGTTGTTATTGTTGTTGTTGTTCTTGCGTTGGATTGCAGGGTTTCCGATTTCAAGATCTTTAAAGAAGAAAAATTTAATTTTTAACTTTATCTGAAAAAATAAATTCATAACAATAACACTCATATTTAACATAATTAAAGTACATTTTCAACATCATTTGAATAATTAATTCATAATAATAATAACAGCACCAATCATTAACATAATTTATTCATCACAACTACCTGGAAATGTGAAGACGCCGGCGGGCTTTTTAACGATGACGTCACGCGAATCGCCACGGGACACTTGCACATTTACGTTAGCGGCTTTCGTCGGTAGATGCGACAGAAATTTGAAATTATTTTCAACGGAAATTGAAGACGGCGAAGATTTTTGCTGTGGTGCTTGCGGCGGCTGTATTTGCTGCTGCTGTTGCTGGTGTTGATTGCGTACATGGATGTTGTATTGTTGTTGTGGTAACTGCTGTTGCAGCTGCTGTTGTTGTTGTTGCACGCTGTTTGCCATCAGCGTTTTATTTTTATTTCTGAAGGTAATGTTGTTGTTGTTGTTTGAATGTAGAGCTTTGTAGTTGTTAGCAAGTGAAGATGAAGTCGACACGGATGGCGATCCGTGGGTGGAATTCGTTGAGCCAACACTCTTCTCATCGCCAGAGTATGAAAACCTGCCCGAGTCTGTTTCGTCAATATTTTTATTTCGATGTTGCAGTTGTTGAGGTTGTTGTTGATGAGGTTGTTGTTGATGAGGTTGTTGTTGTTGTTGAAGATAATTATGGAAAGGAAGAGGAGGACGAGACGGTGGAGGTTGTTGCGACGGTGACGTAGTTGATGACGTCAACGACTGGCGAAAATTTGTGGCGCTCTCCGATCTTACTGTTCGCTTCTCTGGAACGTGAGGAAGGTGGAGAAAATGGAATTAAATTATTGTAATAGCCATTCCGTGCCACACACACACACACACACGCGCACACACACGCACACACAGAGTCCTACGCTTACTTTGTACAACGGGTCTACTCCTTTCTAGGACGGGCTCGATTCCACGTTCCAAATTTCTTAACCGTGGTGACGAAATCTGTGTCGTGGCGTTCATGTTGTTTTTGTGGCTGCTGTTGTTACTACTGCTACTATTGTTACTATTGATACTTCTGTTACTTAAATTGCTTTTTGTAGTTTTCAAGTTGACATTAATTCCGCTGTTAGATTTTTTAGTGTTGTTGTTGTTGCTGGTGGTGAGGTTGACGTTGATGCTGTTGCTCAGCAGTTTGCTGGTTAGGGACGCTCCTTCGAAGGGCTTGGATCCGGTGCTGAGGGCTTGCATCTTCCTCATGTGCTCCGGAGAGTCCGAGTCTTGTATGTGGGAGATGGAAAAGTTACTTCTACTACTATAATCTTGAAAAGTTAACATCATTCGTACCGCTTTCAACTACTCCATCATCAAAATAATTTGTCATTCTACTACTAACCAAATTTTTTAATGTTGATGATTGGAGAGTGGAGATTTTTTGAGAGGTTACTGGAGCTGTAGCCATCGGCTTTCTTCAACATGTTACCTTTCAAATTCAAATTATTGTAATGTTTCTACACGCTATTCTATAATATTTCCTACATTCAATATTATAAATTCTTTTTTAGTAGCTATGAAAAAATTCAAATAATACTTTGGCGAAAAATCATACAATAAAATTACAATACATTTCATCACAGCACATCTATTCAATCCAATCCGAATTACACCACATCCCATTCCGTGCCATCCCAACACATCCCATCCCATCACAAACCGGAACATTCACAACAATTTGACATCTCGGCCAGTTGGTTTTCATCTTCAACAAGTTTATAATGCTCCAGGTAGTATTTTACACGTCTGCTCATCTGCTGGGCTTCAAAAATTTTCTTTTTATTCAATCCAACTCCGCTACTAGAAAATGAAAAGGTGTTGTTGCTGCTACTGCTACTGCTGCTTGCGAGAATGACGCTAGCCGTCGAGTTGATGTGGCTGCGGTGTGTCGTTGATGTCGGCGTGGCGCGCTTCTGAGCGACAAGTGTAGATAAGTAGATGTAGTTGATGGTCTGCTGAGACGGAATTTTTGAAATGAAAATTCAGTTATTTTAAAAATTTTAAATGTGACTATCGTGAAAAATTAACATATAATACTACGGCTAATTCCAGCTGGTACTAATTAATACTGCTGCAGCTACAACAACTGCTGCTGCTGCTGCTGCTACTACTGTTACTTCTAACAACAATGAAATAGTAGAGGAACCGAATGTGAGTTAGGAGCAAGTGACGTAACGTGACGGACTTCCTTGGCGAGCATTCGTAACTTTTCAAAATTCACCAACCCTAAAAATGAAAACTTTTGTTTAAAAGTGATAATTTAAAAATTAAAATAGCGACGATAACGCGTAATACTGCTGCTACTGCTGTCACTGCTGCTACTACTACTACAACCATTACGGCCGCTAACTACTAACACCACCACCACAACCACTACTACTATTACTACCACAGCTACTGTTAAAATAATAATATGTAAGCAGTTCTCAGACAAATAAAACAAAATTTAAGAAACACTTTTCAAAAAATTTTATTAAAAATTGACTGACCATCTATGATGGTATCGTTCCCAAGGTGGATGAACGTCAGATCTTTGTTAACCAGCGGGTAGAAAGGGATCTACGAGCGAGATTTAAAACAGTATGAATGTGTGTGTGTGTGTGTGTTTGCGTGACTGTGTGTGTCTGTGTTTGCGTGTCTGTGTGTGTCTGTGTGTGTTCGTGTGTGTCTGTGTGTGTTTGCGTGTGTGTGTCTGTGCATGTGTGTGTCTGTGTGTGTGGTGTGTGTCTGTGCGGCGCGCACACATGATTCAAGTCGAAAACGGCTAGTATTTGAACTAGATGAAACCGCTATCATTTGTTTAATCTTAAGAAAGTAATTTCATAACTAGTCGAGGCAAATCTATCGCCGCCTAACTCAAGATAAATGAACACGTAGAAAAACAACAGATGAATGTGAAAAAAAGCCAGCATAATCAGGTACATAAACAACTACAACTGCAACAACTGCACAACAACATCAACAACAACAATATCAGCAACATCAACAACAACATCATCATTAACAACAACAAAAACAACATTAACATCAACAACAACAACATCAACAACAACATCAGCAACAGCAACAACAACAATGACAACAACATCAACAACAAAACTAACAATGGGTGCTTGTTGGTTGCTAATGATATTTCTGTACCTACACATGTTTCTAGTTGGGTCCATCAATCTTTGTAGATCCTAATTTAGGTTATTTCAAGTGTTTTAATTATTCTATGACATCAAATCAAAAATTTGTGAAATTGTTCGGAAGAAGATGTTGTAATAATTACTGTGGAAAAATTACAAGCAAGACACCAACCCTCTAAAAATGATAAAATGAATGAAATATGCATATATAATCGAAATATTAACACAGACGAATGAAATCAAGATTCAAATATAAATGAAAATGAAGAAAGAAACCGATTTTTCATTAGTTTAAAAGTTAAAAAAGCTAAAAAAAACCTCAAATAATTTCATAGATTTGGCGGGCAGCTTGTCCCACGTGGCTTTCAGACGCGTCACTGATTGGTGTCCAAGGCCGCTGATGATGGCGAACGCCGAGTTGTAGTTTCTGCAGTCCGTGCAATGTTCTGATGGAAAGAAAAGTTAGCGAATGAATGAGTGAATGGATGGGTGACTGAATGAATGAATGAATGGATGAATGGATGAATGAATGGATGAATGGATGAATGAATGAATGAAATGTTTTAACTCAAGAAGGTACAGTTGAACGAATGACTGAATGAGGGAATAATACGATTAATAATTTAGAAAATAAAACGTAGAAAATTTTTACAAAAAAAAAAAAACTGAATGAAAAAAGAAGAATACTCAAACGACAGATACAAAAAACTCGTACTGGCTATTTGTATAAAGTGCTTGATGGCTCTAGCTCTGTAGTTTGTGTTCTGCTCGTTGACAAGGTGGGTCACTACCCAGAACATCTCCTCGTTTGACAGCTGTGGTTTCAATCAGTCGAACGTTTTGTAACCAGAAATATCAAAAACAAATTGAATAAGAACATACTAAACTGGCATACCTTAGCAAAATTATGCAGGTTAACGCACGATTCGCTATCAAAATCCTGATTAGAAGAGACGGTCAAGGCGAGAGACTTGTTCGGATTTTTCTTAATCGTGTTATTGTGGGAGAGTTTGAAAATGTCGTTGATAAATTCAGTTTGGTTAATTTTAGAGAAGAGGTCAAAATCTTTGAGGCTGAGTTGCACGGCGAGTTCAATGCAGTTGAGGTCTAGAAAAGATATCTGGCATTCTTTCTTGAAGTCATCAACTTGGTCGTCTGGTAGCAAAGGCGACGATATATCGCCGTCCGTTATGTTTTTCAGGTAGTATCTGCAAATCAGATGATGATGGTGGTGGTGGTGACGATGACGACGATGATGATAAAGATTTAATTCACCATACCACACCATATCACATCATTATCACATCATCATCCTCATTAAATGCACCGTCACAATAGAAACATCATCTTTTAACAATCTTCAAATCTTTAACTAAAAAATTATCTCTACCTGGATAGCAGTGACGATCTTTCGACCAGGTTCTTCAAATAATTTGGTAGTCTCCTCTGTTTTACAAAGTTATTCGCGTGCAAGGTCACTTCGTATAAGGCGAAATCCCTTCGTGAAAAAAAAATTAAATTATCAATTTATTAAGTGAATAGGTGGTTAAGTAATTAAATGATTGAATTGACTAATTAGTAAATCAATTTGTTAATTGATTAATTAACTAACAAAGAATGAATCGGTCAAGTAAAATTATATGAAAATAATTAAAAGATTAAATATGAAATGAAATTTTGAGACTAAAAACCAAAAAAAAATAATCAACTGGAAACCTGCTACTGCAATGCTGGGGAATGACGAACTCTTTGACGGCCAGCATGACAACTTGCTGAGCGGTCATCTCCTTTCAAAGTCAAGGCCATGTCATTTAGGTTCAAGGTCATTTAATTATTTTAAAATAATAAAATATATTATAAAATTCTTAACAGTTTCTAACATTAATGTTCGTATTATTTGTATAAATAGTTTTAAATTTTTTAAGAATTGTCACTAGCAAACAAAAGAGTGCAAGCGATCACGATGTACTTTCACATGTGTGTGAAATAGCGAATCTCGCATTTTATGTCATAGTATTCGAGTTGGATCTGATCAAAACTCTACTGCCCGTACAGACATCAAAGTCAAGCAAGACAGTTCTACCATCTGAGCCAACCATTCGCATCTTGAAAAAGTATAACTTTAACTATAATTTAGAAAATGATAATTAAAATCCACCTTGTCAACTAAGATGAATTTGTATGATTGGTCCTCTCTATATATCTTCAAGACGCCCCAATCTGCTGGCTCTCTGTGGCAGCTACTGACGCTGCCACTACTACTTCTAATATTTGTACAACTGCTACTACTATTGTTACTAATACTACTTGTGTTACTGAATCTATTTGGTGTAATATCGTTGGCGGTTCTCGGGATCACCACAGCTTTGTGGTTCAGATGGTCAGAACTTGAGTTGATGATTTTGTTGTTGTGATTGATGTGATTGTTGTTGTTGATGTTGTTGTTGATGTTGATGTTGTCGTTGAGAGCACTTAAACGAGTAAGGTCTGGATGGCTGGTGCTGTTGCTTATTTTGCGCATGACTGAAAAATTGTTGTTGTTATTGCTGTTGCCGTTGTAGTTGCTGCTGCTGATGTTGTTGCTGGTGTTTTTGTTGTTGCTTGTTACAAGGTTTGCTATTTCATGAGTACTGTAAAATTAATTCAATGTCAAGTCAACGAATAGAGAAGCTTCATATAGCAAATCGTTTGTAACTAGCGAAAATGAAACATTTGTCAAATATCGAAGAATTTTGAGAAAATAAATCAAGCTGAAACGTAATATATCAACCTCTTCTGCGTTTTTCTCATTTTGCTGAAAGTATTTTTAATTTTTTCAAACATGGGTGGCTTGCCAGGGTCTTCGAGGTCATGGGGGGGAAGTTCAGATCCTACCCTCAGGGCCAAGTGGTGGTTCGATTCGAGAAATTTTGTAGGCGAAGAAACACGGGTTAGTTTTGTTGTTGCTGATGTTGATTTTGTCGTTGTAGTGGCCGTTGCATGTAGTGAAGTCGTCGTCGTTTGGGTCGTTGTTGTTGTTGGTGGTGGTGGTATGGTTTTCATGGGTGGATTGAGTTTCTGAGACTTGAGTAGAGCTTTGTAGCCTAGGCGTAAAAATGCAACGGTGTATGTCAACACAGGTGGAAAAATTGGAATTTCGATATCATCTTTCTAATCGCTAATCAACGTCATCGTTTCGTCATTATTGTTATCGTAATCTTCCTCATCATCATCGTCATCATCATCGTCGTCATCATCGTCGTCGTCGTCATC